AGACAGCGGTGAAACAAAAACTGCCTTGTAAATGGAAACTGCTTGCTATCTCAGGGCTGGCTGATTGATGGAAGCACTTCCATCTACATGATGAATCTCAGCCCCCTCACTCGCAGGGGAGCGAGGCCAGCACGGCTGGCAAAATGACAGCTCGTCAACAGGAATGAATGAGTGTTGGAAAATTCAAGCGCTCGGTTACAACTGCAGTCATCTCGCCATACCCTCTAAAGTTATCAAGACTGCAATCAGCTCGTTCTATCTCTGCAATGTTCAACAGAGAAATTGTTTTATTTTGAGTACAATGAAATAGTGATACTGATTCTGCAAAATGAAGCTTCAGCCAAGTCATCTGATCGCTTCAGCCATGCTGATAATTCCCATAAAGCATTGCTAGCACTACTGAGGGCCAGTGCTGCCAGCTGGCAAGAAATATTTCATTACAAGAAGTGGAATCTTGCTGATGGTGGAGACTTTTCTGGCAGCGGCCTAGCAGAGGTGTTTCAGTGAGAAAAATAATAAAAATAAATCTTATTCTTTTCATATTCCCAGATGATGAATCGGATGAGAAGAGAGACGCATGCAGAAGGAAATCAAAAGACGAAACATCCGATGAAGAGGAAGAGATGACCAAGAGGCTCTCACTCTTCCATAAAAACAAGGGCAAAGAGGAAGGACGTAAGGAGGAGACAAAGCAAGGGAACAGGGAGAGCTTACAGCGGTGGACCAAGGCAACCAAGCCTTTGCTGCTGAAGAAGAAAGCAGCCACAAAGGAGGAGCAACATGAAGTGCCTCATCATTCAAAAGAGATAGCGGAGGAAAAGGAGGAGGAGAAGAAAAGAAATGCTCAGAAGAGTCCAGAGGAGAAGGAGCTGCAGATGATTGCTCGAAGAGCACCGGAGGAGAGGAGGGGGTTGGAGGAAGAAGGGAGCGCCAGCAGAAAGTCAGAGGTGCTCGTTCCCCTTCTTTTGTGAGATTCACGGTCTGAGAAACAAAAATAAAAAGTGCTAAATCACTTAAAGGAATCTTTCCACATGTTAGGAGATATAGCAAGCCACAACTCAGCTTAAAATAAAAACTGGAAATTGTTTTTATATAACCTCCAATAAAACCGCTAATTAATAATGACACAAACAAGAACACCGAGAGCATAAAGAGGATACTTAAACTACTTAAAAGTTTTATGATGTTTTTATTACAACATGGTGACGTCAGCCTGTTACAGCATCGCTGTGGCATTGTAAGGTGACGTGCTGGAAAAATAAGGAGTCCAAACATATTGTTGTAAAGCTGATAAGACAAGATATAAAAAAATATGTTTAAAGTTATACTGATTTTTTTTTTACATTTGGTGTGAGCTTGACTACGACATAACTTTCACCAAAATGAAATCATCTCAAGCTGTTATTGGGTGTCTTCCATCAAACAAAATGTGAACATTAAATCTTAAACTGTGGACGCTAGACTGCTAACAAACAGACAGAACCGATTACGTACTCCCTCCATTTTGGGGGTAAAACAACAAGGAGTGTTTGATTATCTTTTTGGGAGTTAAACCATAGATCTTAGAGATGGACATCTCCGTTCTGTGTTGTTCAGCTATAAGAGTATACCAAAGAACATCATGTCGCATTCAATAAGCTGTGAAACCAGTGATTGAGACCACAGATGCATCAGAAAACCTGATCAAAGGAACCAAAGTCTAGATTTCCATCAGACATCTGCCCAACCAGACTTCTTTTTGAAATCACAGGGGTCGCCCCCTGCTGGCCATTAGATAGAATGCAGAATGTTCCTCTTAGAACTAGGAGTTGCATCCATCTTTGATATACAGTGTGTGGCTGTTTCTAGTCTTCAAGAGCACTAAACTCTGCTAATGATACATTCATATTTAGATATGAGGGATTTCTCTCAGCAAGTAAGAAGGAAATCCTTCCTGAATGCAATGAAATTGTTCCTCAGGATGTTTTACCTGTTTGCTTCTAAAGCAGGATTCTTCCTACAGCTTGACTCCCTGCAATGTCTTGAAAGGAAGCTATTTGCACTGCAATAGCCTTGATGGATGCAAACTGCAACACAGTTGTTATTAAATTGAAGGTAAAGGATGCCATTCTGGACGTTATCTGCGCTCTCTCTAATAGATAGGACATTCGAGCCACGGATAAATATGATTGTTTGCACTGCTGGTGTCCCTTCTCTCACACGCTGCCTTCTCATTATACCTGCAGGAGCCTGAGATTGAAAGTCTGGCAGCCATCGAGTCAGAGCTTGAAAATGTTGCCCAGAAACTCCACGAGCTGCGGCGAGGCTGAGAGAAATCAAAGGGGGAGAGAGAGAGAGAGAGAGAGAGATTGGAACAAAGTTTGACACCGCAACCTCCTCTGCCTCCTCGTCCTCCTCCGCTTTACCAGCTGCCTGGTTTCCACAGAGCGTGTGAATGTGTGACAAGATTTTTGTCTTTCCGCTATTTTTCCTGAGGAGGCCCGACCGCCGCGGCCTCACTCGTGACGTTCACATAGAGTAGCATACAGTAGATGCACATTGCAGCTAGACGTGCATACTAACAACACACAAGTGCGCGCGTACCGTGCATTTGCGTGCGTAACATTTCAGAAGATTCCCGAAGAAAGGCGACTTGTTCAGCTTCATTTTCTCCGACAATCACGTCTGTTTCTGTAAACGTATCTCTTCTGCTTTTTAGATTATCTCAACGGTGCGCACTGATTCATTGTGAAAGGTTAAGGCAAATCCAGGTATACACCTACAAGGTGAGGTTGTACAGTAATGGCATGTATACATGTACAAAGCTCTTTCTGGAATGCGCATTTACTTACAAAGTTAAAGATAGAGAAGACTTAGATGATTGTCATAGATGCAGTTGATGCAAATCAAGCCAAGGCAATAAGTGATTTTTAGCGGATTAATGTCTGGAGTGTGATCTGTACTGAATTTATGTAAGAAAATCAATAAATTGAATAGTTTATCTGGAATTCTCTATTTGGTGACTGTTTTTCATGCCTCTAAAGTCAGCTTATTATTAACATATTAAAGGGAGAGTGTTAAGAGTCATTACAGGACCATCACACTGTATAGATTGATCTACACAACCCACACAAACCTATAGGATCCACTGCAAACTTAAATTACAAGTGTAGATACAGTCTGTGCTTGCTTGTGGGCGACAACGCTGACAACATGAATCATCAGCATGACACACAGGCTGTTGACACATTCTTTTTCAACGGGCAATTTAACCTTTGTTTTGGCAGCAATATGAAAATTCTTTGGTTGTTACTATTAAGAAGAAAATATCTAGAGTAGATATTATCATACAGTGTTAGCTGGGTTTTTTTTTTAAATGCTGCATTTTAACAGCAATATGTCAAGAGCTGCCGAGCGAAACATGGACTGGAAGGAGTCAAGAACACAATGTGGGCAGTGGAGAAACTAAAATGTGAAAGTTCTGCTTTCTTTGGCAACTCGAGTAAATATAGCTACTGTAGGCATGACTCGAAATTGAATCATGTACAGTCAGACAAATGCAGTCTTGGAAAGCCTGAATACTGCATCTGAAGGTAGGTTTTGCACAGAAAATTCAACCGAAAAATTTAGTTACTGAACATAATCCGAGATCACAGATAACAGTGACAATGGTGATAGTGTTTACTGGATATTTTGTATTAGTTATATTTGGAACTTTGCATCTCTACACTATTCAGCCAGCTGTTACAAATATAGTTCAGGGTTTTTAAGGTTGTGAAAGGGCACCAGATGGCAGCATTAGACCATCTCTTACCTCTTTTTTTTTTCAAAGGCGAGAAACGCAACAGCATGATTAAAATGCACAATGGTCATGTTTGCATGGACTCTTTTCCATTTTCCTTTATGTGTGTTACAAAAATAACTAGAAAACACATGAATAAATGCATATGCCATTACATTTAAAACATCCTCTCTTATATTTGTCTGCTTTTATGTACATAATTTAATTGCATGACACACAGCTTTCTTGAGTGCTTGCACTGCACCATGTTGCATAAAACCAGCACGAATATGTATGGCATCCATGTCGTAGATAAATGGAGGGATTTTTATAGATTACTTCAATTAGCTAAACAAAGACATCCTTTATGTTGAACGCCTCTTTAAATCACTTGAGCCTGAAGGCCTGCTCCGATGACTGAGGCTATTTTTTTTCTGAGTGAGTGATGCACGAGTTCATATGGTGTCAAAACCTAACAGTTTAGCAGAGCTACGGTTAAATGTGCTTTCAAATGTCGGCTGAAAGCCAAGAGCTAATGAAGCCGTTGTGGAGCTGGATCTCAGTCTCGGATCAAAGTTAAAGACAGACCAGTTCATGTTTGTATAAAAAATATAAGATTTTATTTCCAGCTACAAAGTCAAACATGTAACATTTTTGTCACACTTCTCAATAAAATAGTAAAAAATAACCAAAAATACACCACTGATACATTTTGAAGCACAGAAAACATTTTGGCTTTTTAAATTAACTTAAACTGTACACATATATACAAAGTATATACATCAGTATTTTTTTAAAGGAATGAAATTACAATTCTTCCAGTCTCTTCTTCTTCTATTTTTGTACAAAATAGACATTTTGTTCCTGTAGATGCTTTTTTCCCCTCCTTCTGACCTGAATCAGTAATAGTCAAAATGTTTTTTTCTTCTTTTCTCAGTGCCGTGGCAAAGCCCGCTGTACTCCATTATCTAACCCTAAACTCAGCATGCTGCTTGCTTTCTCATCCAGGGCAGAAACTCTGACCTTTCCTCTACTCTGTAAGCACAGTGAAAAGCGTACACACAGACAAGGCTAAAATTTAGACACACACACACACACACAAACACACACACACATACAAGGACACATTCAGACCTGTTTGGACAGGGGAACACTGGCCTGCTGTGGACTGCATGCTCCCTCTACAGCTGCTTAGAGTTTACAGGTCTGGTCTTGGACTGGGAGGGTGGAGGGACTTATTAGACACCTCATTTAGAGAGGAGGTCAACGTTTAGATAAGGTATAAAATGCATACAGTAAAATGGACGGGTTTGTAAAAAGGCTTTCAAGGGAAATGGGCGTAAACCTGACAGCAGGTTTGTCAAAAAAAAAAAAAGAAGTTATAGTGCAGGGATCTTTTGGAGCTGCTAAGCAACCCTCTGTCTGAGTCTATGAGGCTGATGTTCATCAGCTGTACAAAACATACAGGCACTAAGACGAGCGCCTGGGCTACTTTTACAATGAGAAAATGGCAAAATAAAACATGATAACTATATATACTGAGCTGCAAAATGAGATGGAGTTGTGTTTGTTTTCAAGTCAAAAGCGCCTATCGTCCAGGAGCGGCTCACGCCATGTCTCCCATCATCTTCTTGTAATACATGGATTCGAAGATGTCGTTCTCCCCGGGGCAGTTGTAGTGGCAGGCACAGGACTTGATGAACATCATGTGCTTCTTCATGACTTCTCCATCAGGACATTTGAACTCCATGGGCAGGGTGGTGGTCCTGTGCGGGGTGCAGCAGCGGCCGTCCAGGCAGACACCGCAGAACTTTGGCCTGTAGGACTTGGTGGTGGTGCAGCCAGAGATCTCAAATTTCATGGGTTTGGAGACTCTTGGAGTACGGATGCACTTTTTCCCTTTCTACAGGAGGAAAAAAAGAGGAAAGAGCAACTTCAGCAGGGTTTCTTTTACTGATATGCCCAAAGGTCATGAGTGTGGTGCTGTTTAACGAGAACTCACCCTAATGCTCTGCTCCAGCTGAGACTCGCATGGTCTCACCATGCACAGCCGGGTCTGTTTTTCTAGGCGGCATTCACGGTTATCGTTGGTGACCCTGGTAGATACTCCCAGGCCGCATGTCTTCGAGCAGGCGCTCCATTCAGTCGTCTGAACCAGGCAGTTCTCTCTCATCATAAAAGGATCTGGGCCATAGGTCTCCTCCTTCCTGTATGCTGTAAACACAGGAGGAAACGCTGGGTTAGAAAAACTGTGCTAATTATGCTGTAACCTGCTGTAGCCTTGTGTTCTTCAAAAACAGACACTTACCAGACAAAACAGGGCCCATGAAGCTTTTTGTGGTGGGAGTTTCATTCTCCTTTGTGTCGGAAGAACCACATTCCCACTCCTCACAACACTTTCCAGGCACTTTCACACGCCTTGGGTTGGGGCAGTCTGGGCTGGGCAGCCGGATGTCCATGGAGCAAAGAGGCACACAACCGATGGCTCCGTCCAGACAGGTACACTGGTACTTGCAGCTGCTCTGGAAAGTCTCTCCACTCCTGTACACCGTGCCGCCAAACACACAAGTGGCTCCGTCTCGAGCTGTCGAGTAGAATTTGCAAGAGAAGGGTCATGATTTGCTTCATACATTGGATTTATTGCAGACGTCATAGAAAAGATCAGCCATGAGTGGCACACCTGTGCAAACTCCTATGCGTCTGTTGTTGGGAGCTCCGAAGTCACAGTAGAGGCCTTTGTGCGGGTCACAGACGTCTTTCTCAGTGCAGAGCTCCCCCATCTGTTTGGCACACACCCTGCAGCAGCCACAGCCATCCAGCACCAGGCTGACACCTGGGGGGCACTGAGGAGGGGTGGACGGGCACGAACACTGGCCGCTGCACTCCTGACCTGCAGCCTGAAAACAGGCACACACACAGACACATTCTCTGGTAAATATCATGCCCACGTTGTGTGCTAGAAACACAGACACACATCCAACACACTGGCTCTTAAGACAAGTTTAAAGCACTGGCTTCACCATTCAAGTCCAGCTAAAGCCAAAGCCTACACCAAAACACTAAAATGAATTATTTTTTTCTGACTTACCAAGTAGGAAAGCATGATGCACAGCAGAGGCAGCAAAATCATTTTCTTCATCTCAGCAACCATCTTCTCTTGTCTTTAGCAATTAATTTAGATTCTTCCAAAAACACCTTCTCGGAAAAAGTCGTCCTTTAGCGTCAGAGTTTTGAGCTTGAGAAACTTTTCTGATCAAATTGATCTCTTGTCTTGTTCCCAACTGCTGCTCACTGTCTTTTTTATTTTTCCTTTCTTGGTGAAAGCTAGAGTTTAGCTTCGGTAGAAGAGTTGATCTGAGTTCTGACTGCAGAGTGGAGCCTCCTTTATACCCGCTGGCCCTCGCAGCACGTCACTGGGGGCTGAATGGAGAGCCAGCCCTGGACAAACATGGACATACTTGGCATTCTTTCCTCGCTTCCTGCCCCCCACTCCAGACATCCCACATTCCTGCTGTCTGAAGGCAAGGCTCTGCTGCTCGGCCAAACAACACCGTCTCTCTCTCAGAGCACCTTTCATCTGGATTGGGAGGTTAAGTCTGGTTACAGTCCTGAGACCCCACACTGGGAATTCCTAAAGACTGACTTCACAAACAGACAGCCAGTACCTATAAATATTAATTTTTCAAAAAGAAAGAAAAGGGGAAAGGCAGCAACAGTTCAAAAGTGAACCCTCAAATAACTTGATGAGGAGGAAGGACAGTGGAAATAAAGCAGGTAGAAGCTCATAAGCAGAAACATACAATAATTAAACAAACTCCAAGAAGTTTAATATGTGGTTAAAACTTTAAGCCCACAACAGCATTCCTCAGCCCTGGCTTCAAAGGCACATGACAGCATGTACTTTAGTACGTTAACAGCAAGCGGTTAGTGAAAGGAAATTCATTTGAGTCAATAACTTGAGCTGGTTATTTGTCAAGGTGCTTGTTCCAGCACAGAGACCTGGCAGCTGTTGTCTAGAGACTTTGTCTTCTATGCCCATGTGGTTATTTCTGAGACACTGCAGCGGCATTCTTGTGCACTGACATCAGTGGCTGGACTGCAGATTTGATTATTAGCTACTCTTTTAAACACATTATCATTAAGAACTCATTACCGTGAATGAAGCGTTTTGTTTCTGAATCCCTCCTCATGTGCTGTACGTGATATACCTGACCTGATTCCCTCCAG